TAACTAGTTGACTTAGTTCTAGGACAGTTTCTGCTGTTTGCCATCTTAAAGCAAAATTATTCAAGCTCTTTATTGCCCGGGTAAAATGTTAAGGTGAAAGCATTTGTATTTTCAAAAGCAGAAGTTGTGGAGAGTTGACAATAGGATTGCACACTTTAGCCAAAAATAGCTGAGCTGGAATCTTGGGGGAAATTTTTCTATTCGGCTTTTTTTTTTTTTTTAAACCTAACATTTGCAGTTGCCTTTTCAGTTAAAAGTTTAGTGAATATCTGCATAATTTTAACCCAAAATGGCTTAACCCCTTAAGGACCAAACTTCTGGAATAAAAGGGAATCATGACATGTCACACATGTCATGTGTCCTTCAGGGGTTAAAGGAACACTATAGTTACTAAATTACTTTAGCTAAATAAATTGCTCAATTCACTGTCATTTAGGAGTTAAATCACTTTGTTTCTGTTTTTGCAGCCCTAGCCACACCTCTCCTGGCTATGATTGACAGAGCCTGCATGAAAAAAAACTGTTTTCACTTTCAAACAGATGTAATTTACCTTAAATAATTGTATCTCAATAATAATTTTATCTCAATCTCTAAATTGAACTTTAATCACATACAGGAGGCTCTAATTAAACAGAACTTGCAATAAAGAAAGCCTGAATAGGGCTCTCTTTACAGGAAGTGTTTATAGAAGGCTGGGCAAGTCACATGCAGGGAGGTGTGACTAGGGTTCATAAACAAAGGGATTTAACTCCTAAATGGCAGAGGATTGAGCAGTGAGGCTGCAGGGACATGTTCTATACACCAAAACTGCTTCATTAAGCTAAAGTTGTTCAGGTGACTATAGTGTCCCTTTAACTAAAAACATAGCTAAGTTTTTTTGTTTTTTTTGTTGTTTTTATTCAGTTACTTTTTAAAGGACCACTCTAGGCACCCAGACCACTTCAGTTTAATGAAGTGCGGCGCGTGCGCATTCAGCCGACGGGGCGGATCGGAGGAGGAGAGGAAGAGGAGAGCTCCCCGCCCAGCGCTGGAAAAAGGTAAGTTTTTACCCCTTTCCCCCTTTCAGAGCCGGGCGGGAGGGGGTCCCTGAGGGTGGGGACACCCTCAGGGCACTATAGTGCCAGGAAAACGAGTATGTTTTCCTGGCACTATAGTGGTCCTTTAAATTCTCCTTCACTTCCTGACAATTCATAATGAGTAATCCTGACAGTCTTTGGTATTTGTTACCCTAAATAGTGCTTTGAATAGCGAGGGGAAATGCATTCATACTTAGTATACTTTTTTCCCACTGGCTATTATCCATAGCATTAAAGTTTTACTCCGAGTACCATGACCACTTAAGTAATTCGGAGTGGTTATGGTGATTGGAATCTGGCATGTGCAGTTTCAGTAAGAAACACTGCACATATACATACATACGGTAAGTGTCCCATGCTGCACATACACATACCTCCCAAGACTATTTAGAAGGGACAGTCCCTATTTCAGGCCCAAATGCCGCTGTCCATCATTTCTCTCCTAATGTCCATATTTTACAGGAGCTCCGTATTGTTGGTGCGTGTGAGGGTATAACAGAGCTTCACAGCAATAATACAGTAATGTGTCTTTAACTTAATGCGTTTAGAAATCAGTCTGCTTAAATAAGAGACATTGTTCTTGTGCTAAATGACATTTTGGTTGCATAAATTATTTGTATGTACCTTAAACTTACTCAAAAGAGCCCTGGCCACAACCCACTCACACCACTAAAATTAAAGTGTCCATCTTTCTCTATTTTGGGTTATGCATAAGAAGTTATTTAGTGTTGCCGCTGGAGGTGTAACTCCACCTTTGCTTGCGCCATTAGACACGCTAATTTCAATTAAGAGCGTTAAAATTTACAGTGTTTTTGTCTTTTTTTCATGTCTATTCACAGACATATGATATATGTACAACTGTATGCACACTACAGCCTTTGTGGCAAAAGATATTGCGGGAAAAGGGATAATTTGTACTTTATTTTTACAGATTTTTTTACCTTCCAAATCAATTTAGGTATATTTTTGTTTCATTTGTGGGCCAGAAAAAAAAAATATTCCAAAAATTATTTTTAAAATTTACATTGAAACTACTTTAAAGGAGCAACATGACTACTGTGTGTTGATGTAGTGGTTATGGTACCATTAGGCTGCAGGTGCCATGACCCAATTCTTGATCAAACCATTTTTTATCAGTTTGACAAAAAACGTGGTGCCCCGAAACACTGGCAGCCTGGCACCCGCTCACCAACATTGCTCATGTGAAATTTGCAACATCAATATAAATCATATTTTAACTCTATTCATTGGCTGAGTGCATTAGCTGACAGAAAGATCCCTCTTTAAATGCAGCGCTGTACTTTAAAGATACTTCTGACCGGCCTGCACCCCATTACTATACTGAGGTAACTTCATGAGCCTTGCTCTTCTGAATGAATAAGAGCACGTAGGTGGATTTGCACCGACCAAAAATGCAAAACAAAAGCTCCCCTCACTGGACAACCAAGAATTGTAGCACACCCCTAAAGGACAACTTAGGATCAAATCCTCCTTCCATGCAACCCACACACATTAAAAACATAGGAGATTGTGTATAAAAAGGTGGTCTAAAGTACTAAAAGTGAGGCAGTTACCATGGAAACCAGCTGACACATTGGATTGGTGTCTGTGCCCCTATTTCCTGTTTGCACCTCTTTTCTGAATAGATCATTTTTATACATAACCCCCAAAGATTCTTCCACAATTTCCCAACCTGCAACACAACCGTCCTCCCCACACACAGGTCTTATCTCACACAAACACAAATGCAGGACAGTCCTGGCTTTGGGGTCCTGTGTCCACTTTCGTTCCCTGTTGTTCGCTCTGGGTTCTAGGACCATGCAGGGAGAACTTCAGCATTATTTAATGGAGATTTTGGATAATAAATGGAGCAGCAAACTGGATTTTTACCCAGGGTGGTGTAAATCCTTGCATCAGCCCTGCTTTCAAGAACACGGAGTTCTATAGAATCTATATGTAACACAATCACACAACACATTCACACTAGAAGAGCTTTTTATTTAACCATAGGTATGAGCATGTACCATTTTGGTGTTTATTCATTTTAAGCTTACAGATGCAAGGCTAACAGCCGGAGAGATGACAGCTGCTCCCCTTTGTCTTCTCAGACTACAGACAAATTGTGCTTTCCACTTACACAGCTGTTCGAGAAAGTTTACAATTTTAATTATTTGAAAATACCATATGGAAAAAATTATGACGAGGAAGAAAACAGAAGAGGCCTTGAAAACAAATGTTTTCTTTTGATACTTGGGATGTTCCATTTTTCGTGTGAGATTTAAAAATCTCCCACAAGGGAATTAGCTTGAATTGTGTTTATATAATGTCTATTTATAAGCCCTGAGCTATACAGCGACAGCAACGAGTAGCTCAGAGCAACTTTTTCTGTACTTGGGCTGAATAAAGAAAATACAATTTTCTAATTTAAATTTCATAGAGTGGGCCACCTCAGACAAGTCGCTGGAAGTGTGATTTAGTATAGAGGTCCAAAATTCTCACCGTGGACTTTGCTTTGTCTTATTTAATTGCAGGGCCACCTTTCCCCATGGGCACACTGGGCAGTTGCCTGGGGGCCCCACCTTGTTGATTAGTGTGCCCGGCCAACAAGGCAGATCCTTTGGTCTCCTCTGCCAGCCCATTGAGAGGCGGCCCTCTTTTTTTAGATCTCCCTTACCAGCCCAAAGGCCCTGGGGAGAGAGGGCGAGAGGACCTGGAGGAAAGGGGAGAGACCTGCAAGGCAGATCGTTTCTCCGCGAGCAGGGTGTGTGGAGCATTGCCACGCATTACTATGGCAGCTCTCCACATAGCATTCTACGCGGGAGGATAGGAGACAGCCTGCAGCCAGACGAGCTGCAGGCTACGCAGAACTCACCACCACTAGACCACTAGGGCTGGCTGTGTCCCACCAGCATCCCCCCCACCCACACACACACAACACTCTCTCACACACACAGCATCCACACACACACACAACACCCCTCACACACACACAGCACCCTTCACAGACACAGCACCACTCACACACACAGCACCCGTACACAAACACATGTTTAGATACTGCACTGGGGGCCCGCCTACACAAAATTTACAGGAATACAAATTTAAGTTATAGGTAAAATTAAGCTTATATTTATTAGTACCTCAAACAAATGCAATACATACATACATACACACAGACTGCTGAATATAGTCACAGACTGCTGAACACATTCACACACCAACTGCTGAATACATACACAGCGACTGCTGAATACACACGCACTCGACTATAGGCTCAAGTAAGTGCTGAAATATTGACATTATATTTTGTTCCAAAATAAAAATAGCCTCTTGAGCAAACCATTGGGTGTGCCTCGACGTTTGTATATATTTCCAATGGAATCCTGGCGCAACTAATCCCTTGTAGCAAGTACATTGTCCACATTTTGGTGCTGTTACTTAAAGGACCACTATAGGCACCCAGACCACTTCAGCTTAATGAAGTGGTCTGGGTGCCAGGTCCAGCTAGGATTAACCCTTTCTTCTATAAACATAGCAGTTTCAGAGAAACTGCTATGTTTATAATAGGGTTAATCCAGCCTCTAGTGGCTGTCTCATTGACGGCCGCTAGAGGCGCTTCCGCGCTTCTCACTGTGATTTTCACAGTGAGAAGACGCCAGCCTCCATAAGAGAGCATTGAGAATGCTTACCTATGGACTGGCTGAATGCGCGTGTGGCTCTTGCAGCGAATGCGCATTCAGCCGATGACAGATATGGAGGAGGAGGAGAGTTCCCCATCCGGCGCTGGAAAAAGAGGTAAATTTAACCCCCTAGAGCCCGGCGGGAGGGGGGCCCTGAGGGTAGGGGGCACCCTCAGGGCACTATAGTGGTCCTTTAAACAGAGAAAGTCAAGGAAGAGCAATGTTGGTCCCATTGAAACGGGCACTTGTGTCTAATTTAAAGAGGGACTATCACTTCTCTTGAAATACCCTGTATCTATTTTTTTTACATTGTTTTACATAATGCTCTGTGTTTTTTTCCCCACCATAGAAATCTATAATAGGCAGAGTTTATGATAATTAGTAATTCAAATAAGTAAGGAATCACCGTAGGGACCAGTTATTACAACATTAATTAAAGTAACTCTGTCACTCCAAACTTACATTTCTCCAATTGTTTCCTCTACTGTTTTTTTTTTCTTGTAAAATACCTAAGGCAAAGCAGTGAGTAATTTTTAACAAACTGTATAGCATGATCCCATTGTGGCTAATGGAGGAATGGCTGCATTATTCCCAGTGTTTACAAAAAAGAGCTGGACTACAGAACTGACAAGAAGCCCACATGGGATTTCATTAATATATTTTTACTGTTTACCTACAATTTTTAAGTGTGTTGCAGTTCCGAATGTACTGGCAATGGAAATGGGCAAACCGTAAAAAAATAATTAGGGCATAGGAGTTGGAATGTTAAGAGCAGACAAAGTAGATCTGAGTAAAAATAAAAGTATATGAAAACAAAAGGATAACTGTAAGACTGTGTCAAACACACACTCAACATTTGGTTTCCATGGGGTAACACTGCCTATACTGACACCAGAAGCAACCAATTATAAAATAATGGGTCTAATGAGGTAAAAAGTATGATAAACCTGGGAACTTGCTGGATGTTCCTGGTTTAACACCACACCACTTATCACTATTCAAGTTAATTCTACCTACTTGTCCTTCTCTGTCCCATTTTAGTATCAGAACTCATGTTTTTGTATGGCTTCTTTCAATTTTCCCTTTTCCTCTCCTTACTGACAACATCCCTATCACGTAAGAAGAGGAAGAAAGGGAACTTCGGGGCTCAAGAGCAATAGCCCACAAATGTTCCAAGGTATGATACCTAAACACTGACCCCAGTAAGTTAATACTGCTGGGATTTTTTTTAAAGAAGGTGGAAAAACGTAATTGCCATAGAATTAAGGAATGTCCAGTTTAATAATAATGTCATGCAGTAAGGTATGATTCCAAATATTGAATGAAAGCGTAATTGCTAAGGAATTAAAATGTGTCAGTCTTGATCTTGAAGTATGAGACAACTGTGAGAGAGACGTTTGCTCTGATGAGCTTGGTCATACTCAGATATAATAATAATATCAGAAAGGCTGCTGTCAACTGAACACGAACAATTAATCAATGAAACAATACTGTAGTGGATTTTAGGAAGATGTTCAGTAACGCCTGGGCTCCTCTAGTAGAGTGAGGGTTAAATGGCGTCTTTACCATGAAGAATATTTCACTACCCTCTGCATTCTCATCACCTGTTGCTGGAGCCAGTTGTCACAGATGGTTTTCTCTAGCAGAACAGTGGGACTCTTACATATTAAATAGCTGGAAAGCATTTTGGTTTGCAGCTGATGTGCGTTATATGCCATTGACCACTTAATGCTCGATTAGGTAATTGGAGTCTTTCACCTGGGTCAGACTCTGAACTCCCATCAAACTCAGCAAACCAACACAGATAGTTGAAGATGACAGGAGATGTAATTTCACACGATTAAGAGGTAATTGTCACTTCCAAGGGTTTTTAATATTATGTTTACTTATCCCCTATGTTTAACAAATATACTGTATTTTGTGAGCTGTGAAAAATACATTTAATGCCGAAACTTTTTACTAAGTTAAATAGTACTGCTGACGCAACGTGTTAAGGGCATATTTTTTATTATCTCTGTAAATCTTTATCTAACATAGCCAGAAAGGTATACAGGCAGACAGGTATATTTATAGATAATATCTATTTTTAAGAAACTTTTTAAAAGTTTTCTGCACATTTGTATATATTACCATGATCAAATAAAATGTTTCTCTCACGTTTCTGGCTGTTGACTATAAAATTAAGCTTTTTTTCTGCTCCATTTTGTTTGAAAAGAAAAAAAAAATTCCATCGATTTCATGCTGTAATATACAATGCTATTTAATTAAATGGCCTAACTTTATTCAAAAATTCATTTAAAACTCCTTGCAGGAAAAATGAAAGCATTAATGACAGAAAACAAATGCTTTATTTGGGATGCATGCACCTTAGACCATAATGATTATCTTCTAGAACATTGAAATGTGGCCATTGAGAGGGACAATATAACTGGTGGTGGAAAGATTCTATGGCAAAGCTTTATAGGAATATATTTCTTACATATAAAAAAGGTTAAGAATTGACAGGAACAGAATCTTAACATGCGGATTAGCTCCTAATTTCTATCCGGGTTATTCACTAAAGTGAAAATTCAAAGTGAATTTGAAACTTTAAGGCTAGAGTAGCCAAACTAAACGTATAGTTGACTGAGAGAATTTTTCCAATTCAGCTATTTTGACCCTCAATTTGAAATTCACTTTGAAGTCTCCACCTTAGTGAATAAACCTTTTAAGTGTAATTCTGAAGGTCATGTGATAGCTCAATATGTCTGCCTTTGGGCCTTTTCCACTACCTCAAACCACCTTTGTGTACATGTAAAATGGCACACTATCGCTGGAGAGGCTGTAAAAGGGCATTTTAAGGCCAAATGAAGCATATTTTGTGTTTATGTAATGTAAATAAGGCCTACAAATTGAAGGGTCAAGTCCACCTCTAGAGGCTGTTGACCTCTAGAGGTGCTTTCACATGACGCATTGATTCAATACTTTCCTACAGGGAAGTTTGAATGCACTCGCTGCGCATGCACATTATGTCCCCAATGCCCCTCTATGAGGAACATTGAATTGGACCATCGCAGAGGAGCCCATGCTTCCTTCATAAAGTTACTGGTGGCAAGGAGGCAAACAACACTGATGGAGCCTAGGGGCCGGAAAGAGGTAAGTACTTTTTTTTTTTTTAATGGAAAATAGCGTGCGGGGGGAGAGACACCATAACAAGTGTAGTGACAGGAACACTATAACATTAGAAATTCAGATCTATATTCCTAGCGCAATCGTTTTCCTTTAAGATTTCAGATAAAAGGAAAAATATCTAATGAGCCTACCCTACCATGTTGCAGTGCGGCCACTCACATGTCCTCCTTATTAAGGTTTAATTAGTTTGTAGGTATTCTGAAAAATATCTCTCTTTCATTAGAGATTTTGTATTTAAAATGGAAGCAGTAGGATAAATTGTTAATGTAGGACTCACTAAAGAGGTTTACTTCCCACAACTCATTTAACATTATCTCCCTTTTTCTATTAAACACTTTAAAGGTTCTTTACTATAAGTGTAAAGTGTCAGGAATCCAAAGTGAATTGCACATTTTAACAAAAACCTGATATTTACTTGACTTTGTCACATTCATACGCATCAATGCAGTAGATTCAGTAATCCTCAGAGGTATCTTTTACAAATAAACACAGCGCAAGGGTTGCCATATGCTCAAAGGACGGTGGGACCGCAAGTCACAAGTTTTATGTCTGCTTTGGTTTTCTTGTTATATGTTTGTTTTTGTTTTTTTTTTTAAATTCTTTATTTTTGTAGTGCATAAGCTTATAACAGACGGTTGTAAGGTACCCCAAAGGCATTCCTCCAACGCAATATAGACAGTTGAGCATAGTGGTACGTGAGCAATCAGGCAGAAAATTTACGAGAAAGGTTAGATTGAGTAGTGAAACAGTAGAAGTTCTCGTAGCCAAATCTGTCTCAGTGCTGTGAATAATATCACTGAAATATCTAGCTGGAATGTCATGAGACAGGCATAGTAAATTAAACATGCTTAATGATATATTTAGACATGCTATCAAGCAGGTAACTGCAAGAGTGGTATAAGAAGAAAACCCACCCCCCCCCAAAAAAAAACAAGAAAGATATATTCTACTGGTTATGTGCGTTAAGCTGTTACTGCAGCTGGGTGAGTAGCTCATTATAAGAGGGGGGGGAACTAAGGGCAGCAGGTATTATGACCTGTGGTAACAGCATTTTAACAGCCCCGCCAGGAATGACAATGGCTTCAGCCGGGGTTTGTGGTTGCAGGGTTGTGGGCTTGCGCTCCCTGTGGCATAAGGTGAAGACCTTCCATTCAGGCGTGTCATGCTGTAGACAAGGGAGCGGATCTTGTTGCTGGTGAGGTGAGTGGTAGCAGGAGCACCTTGTTGATTGAAGTGGAGCTGTCTGCCGGTGTAGTTTTACACGCCATCTTCTTTGCAGCTCCTTTTGGGAGACACGTGTGGGATGTTTATGCCTGCGGTAACAAGCAGCAGGACGATTCCGGGGAGCCACAGATTAGTCAGCGGGAGCGGAGATGGGTGCCCCTTTATAGAGCTAAGCTCCAAGGAAGGTGCAGGTGCGGTCAGGCGCCTTGCGGTTCCTTGTGTGTTGGCCCTGACGGAGCATCTCTGTTGTCCTGCGGGCGGTTTGGTGCTCGGGGTGTCTGTGCAGGCTTCTGTTTTAACACACTTGGGTGAGTGCGCGGTCGGGTTTCAGGCTCTTTCTCAGTCGGTGATGGGAACAGGAGGGCCTCGAGCTTCTCCCAGAGGACTTGAAAGGCTTTGTCCAACAGGTGCTCCACCTCCATCCGCTCGCTGTGAGTACTGGAGGAGCCCCTTGCCTCCGCCATTTTGTGTGCAGTTCCACCGCTCGTTTCGGGCCCCTGTGTCGCCACTGTGTGTGCGCCACGTTGTACTAGGGTCTCCCGAGGGCGGACCAGGATATCCCCCACCAGTCCAGGGGGGTGGGGGGAACGGGCTTCTTGTCTCCGTTTATCAGCCGTGGGTGTCAGCGGGGGATCGGCAGTCTCCCTCACGCCGACCACGCTTGTAGGCCCCACAGGTCGAGCAGGCGAGTTTCGCTGTGTCACTTGCGAGGCATCACAATGTGCCCCTCTTTGTCACCATCCTCCTGGTGGCCCTTTTGAGCTGATTAAGTCTCTTTTTAACAGCTGTTTTACGCTTTTTCCGAGCTGCAGAGCAGGAGCTGTATAGTTTAGCTTCCTCTCCTCTCAGCGGTCAGACCCCGCCCCCATTATATGTTTTTTAATATGGCTGTTAACTATAATAGTACTCTACATATCTGCATCTTTTTTGCCGAATAAATTTTTATTTGATTTATACATTGTCTGTGCTGTCTGTACTCTCATTTGCTTCATAAAGCGTGTCTAAAAAAAAAATATATATATATATATATTTATTTATTTTTATTTTTTTACCAAAATAGCCATACTGAACGCTTGCCCTACAGCAACGACTCAGACCACGGCTGTCTCCTAATACT